TTCACAGCAAGCTGAAAGACTTCATGTCAAGAATGCTTCCTGCTCAGCAACCTGCCCAGTGCCAGAGACCATGGAGTCCATGCAGTTATTTCCCACCAAGGCAGAAGGAGGAGAGAACCCGGGATCAGAGCTGGTGGGCAACAGCCCCATCCCTCCCCAAGAGCTATCCCCCATGGCCATTTGGTCACAGATCTTCAGTGCCTGATGGATCTCTGTGGCAAGGGAAGATTTCAGCAAATTCTGCTGGTGGGCAGAGAATGTGTGAAGCTGCGCAGTGTCGCATGGTGCTGGGGTGGGGTCTTCCCCCACTGCTGTGACCCTGGAGGACTTGAGCAGTTTGTGTACCAATATGAAGGTCGCTGTTGTTACACAGCGCCCAGCTACTGTGGGAACTGTGGTGCCTGTGCCCATCCCAGTCCTGGCATCCTACACACCCAGGGCCTGCTGCTGCCACCTTCTACACTGATGCCACTCCACTGAGCTTTCTGGGATGGCATCAATGGAGTAGGAGGCTCAGTATAGGCTGTTACATTCCTGTGCCTACAGTGTCTGTGGTCCTGAAGGAGTTAAAAGCCTGCCTGCTGGAGGCACAGCAAGGGGAGACCCTTGAGGAATCCTGACAAGTGCAGGGAGCTGAGTAGGGCTGAGGGTGCCCAGTCTCGGCTCCCTACACCTCGTGGCAGCCGTGGCTCCTCCAGCCAGTGAGAGACATGCTCACTGGCCAAGGGGGAAAGTGAAGGTGCAAGCAGGGGGGCTGGAGGGTCCAGCCCTAGAAGCTACTCACTTTCAGAAGGGCTAGCAGATGTGCTGATGCCATGGGAAGAAGACAGAGTGAGAAGGACTCATGGTCAGGCAGAGAGCGCTTTTGACACCAGTCTGTGGGCCTGATCCTGAGCAGTGCTGAGCACCTGTCTCACCTTTGGAAGTCTCAGCAGAACTCAGGGTCAGGCCCTGTGCATTTCCCACCACCCGCATCCCCACTTTCTGCCAGATGTGCTTTCATTGCCACATAAGTTCTGTACCGAGGCAGCTGTAAGCTAGTGTGCAGGCTCCAGCTTGCCCCTGGGGCTTGGTGCTCTGAATTTTGTGTACACAGGTATTGCAATGGCTTGCTGGGCCCCTTTAGCCATCACACAGGAAAGGAAGGCAGGAGGGACTGTGTGTATGTGGACACAGCACTTCTCCTGGAAAGCTGGGTGGCCTGTGGTTCCTGGCCAAGGGGGAGCTTGGAGCTGGTAACCCCAGGAGTCCCTCGTGGCTCCCCAGAGCAGGGCAAAGCTGCAGGAGAGGTCTGGCCTGTCCCTCCCTTTGGTCTGTACCTGCTTGGCATGGATGCCTTCCTTAGTGCTCAGTTCCCCATAGGAAAGCAGAGGGGTCTGTTATTGCGAACGCAGCTAAAATATATAATCTTGCTTCTTTATTACGAGCATTTGCTTTTTATTGCTCATTGCATGCCTGTCCTGTCTGCAGCCCGGGATTCTCCCTGCTGCCTGTGGGGCTCAGGGCTTGGGGCCTGCTCCAACCCCTCAGTTGGAGCCCATGTCAAGGGTGGCTTTGCCAGGTGGCATCTGGGCTCCATCCCAGGCTCCTTTTTTTCTCTGTTGGGTTCTCTTCAAGCACTGAGAAGATGTTCCTGGAGTGCCACGCTGACACCAGGGAGGGGCAGGAAAAGACAAAGCTGGATGGGCTTTTGCCATTTCCAGGCTTCCTGGGCCCCAGGATGGGAGCACAGACCAAGAAGGCAGCTCCAATCTACCCGCCCTGCCAGCCCCATCAGCTCCAACCACTGTGGTGGGATATTGAACTCCAAGCAGTCCCAAAGGAGCCTGGGGTGGGCAAGGGGGAGCCCAGCTTACCCCAGGTTTCGATCAGTCCTCTGCTTGCTGCCAGAACTACACGTCTCAGTCCCATTAGACTCCCCCAGCCCTGGGCCTGCCAGCAGCAGACATGTACTGGATTGTAGCAGCCCCCCAGCCCAGAGCCTGGCCCCACTGCCCAGGGGAATCCCTCTAGCAAGGGTGGGGATCTTGCAACTAGCTGCAGCACGAACTCCTGCTTCCAGACCACTCTGCAGGGGAAGAGCCCTGCAGGCCCAGGGCTGGTGGAGGAGTATCTGGGACGAGGTGGTTGTCCATAGGCGTTCTCCATTTCTAAGGGCCCATCTATTGTTTTTTACATATCTATTTTTTCTTACACAGAAGCTGTAGCCTAGAGTACCTGACATCCAGAGCATGGGCAGGCATTAGCCTCAGGAGGTTGAAGGACATCTGGGTTTGGTACCACACTTGGCATTGCTGACCCCCCATTGGGGGATGGAGCGATGTTTGTCTATGGAGGGGGGCAGAGATCGTGTCCAAGGCCCCCTCCCATGCCAGGGTGTGACATGTAGCTGTGGGGTGATGGGAGCTTAGATAAAGCTTTATTCGTTTTCTATGACTGCATCCTGGTGAGCAGCTCAACTAATAAAGTTTCTTTTCTAAAAGGACAAGTGTACGGTGTGGTCACAAGTAACTGGGGTTGAAGGGTGCTGGGGCAGGTGTGGGGTGAGGGCCAGGGTGGGGGGATGAGTGGGGGAGGGCAAGTTACCGCCAAACGCTGGGCAAAGAACAGAGCCAAGGCAGGAGTCAACCTTCAGACACTGACTCTGCCTCTTGGGCAAGGCACTGGGCAGCCCAAGGGACATTACCCAGCCTGTCTCACATGCATACATTCAATTTGGGCAACGCAGCTTTGGGAACTAAAAAAAAGGAGAACCAGTAGTTCAAAAACAAGTTAAATTTTCCTCCTCAAAGGGGTAGTGAGTTCCTGCAAACCTGCAATGGAGTCATCTCATTCCCCATGCTCTCGGACTACCCCACCTCAGGACAGAGCCTTTTTGCCTGGTGTTAGCTGGCTGTAGGTTGCACAGACCAGTCCTGGAGATGGAGACACGCTATCCCACAGCTTGTGGTCACCATGCTGGAAGGCCTGGCCCAGCTCCTACTTCAGCTTCAAGGGGAGCAATCCAGGCTTCTTACTCACACTGTTCCTGTGGCATGGGCAGAAGAGGTCAAATGCTCCAGGGCAGTAGACAAAGCTGATTCAGCCACTGTAGGCAGCTTGGCACAGTAAGCCCAGGGGAGTGGTAGAACACCAATTCTAGACTGTGTGATAGAGATACTTCCTCCACAGAGCTGTGCCCGAAGTGTACCCTCCTGTGAATATATGCCAGGCACTGGCACTGCCCAGCTGGCAGCAGCATTACCACATCCACTCAGTTGCAGACACAAAGCAAACCCAGCTCTGCCTAGCCTCTCACAGTGGTGTCAGGAATCAGGTGGAGCTGCTGGACATTGACTCACCAGCGATGAGCAAGCAGATGTGACTTCAGCAGCAGGATTACTGGTCTGCTGGTGTCTCCACTCCAAAGAGCCCTCCCTTGGCCTGCTTCCTTCTCAGCTCTTGGAGCAGCTCAGTCCCTGCCACTGAGTCACAGGTGTGGGATTATCATTCAGCATGACTTGAAGGCTTAGCAGTTCTGCAGCTGGTTGATGCCCTGTGAAGGTGGGGAGCCACAGTGACTGCTGACACTGTGCAGTGAGTAAGACATAGCCAAGACTAGAACTCAGTGTCAGAGGGACCCTGCCTTCCAGCTGGCCCTGCCTGTTGATAGGAGGGAGGCAGTGAAATGGCTGGACTGGGTTCCCTTCTGCCAGGCACTGGTTTCACTCAGGGTTTTGGTTTGAAGACAGCATTCTGGCTTAGTCAGGGATGATCCTGCCCTGAACCAGGGTTGGATGAGGTAGGTTCCTAAGGGCCCTTCCACCCCTCTCGTTCTATGATTCCATGGTTATCAAAGCCTGCATGGGAGCTTGGATCAGGAGACCAAAATCGCATCCTCGTGGTGTAGGTCCTACATACAAAATTGGGTGTGGGGCCGCTTGCTTTATCTGGAAGACAACATGTAAGATCTCAGGCTGCTTTACATGAGAAGCCAGGCCCAGCTTCCCCAGTACAGCTCAGCTCTCCTCCCAGGTGGTCTTTATCGGCTAGAACCCTTACTTGTGAGCTCAGCTGGGAGGAAGGAGCTACAGGAGAGTGTCTGTCTGGTTTCCTATGATGGGTCCTAGGAAAAGCCTTGAGAATCAGCAAGGCTGATTCAGCAGGTTGGAGTTGGGGTGGGGGACCCTTATGCTTAGTTTCCTTTGAGACTGTTCTGTAAGTTATCTGTGTCCTGTCTGGAGGTGCATGGAGACATTTGCTTGTTGAGATGGTCTCTGGAGGGTAGAAAGCCCTGATACAAGAGTAACTAAAGATCCCCAAAGAAGCTGAGGCAGGGTGATCAGTGCCATGACAGGTCACAGGAGCTGCTGCAGAGGCTGTCGCCACCTGCCAGATGTCGGACATCCTGAGAAGGAGTGAACGGGGAAACCCATTCAGTATGGATCCCAGAGTCCTCTGGGAAGTTTACAAGAAAAGTCTGTGTAAGCATCTGTCTGGGATGACTTGGGAGCAGCGAATCCTCCATCTGTGCAGGCAGGTGGACTAAATTCCCTCTGCCTGACATCCAGCTCTGTCTGTTGGCTTCCCCATTGTGGTAACCAGGGTCCATCTGTAACCAAGCATTTACTGGCTAGACAGGCTCTTCCCTAGCCTCATCTTGCAAGCCTCACACCTTTCTATGGATTTACCGTCCTGTTCCCCGTGAGGCAGGGGAACTCCATCACCTCTGCCAGATAAATGGGGAAGAGGAAACAGAGGCCACCAGCAGCTGCTGCCTGAGCACTCACAGCTAAGTCAGGCAAGGCCACACCATGCTGAGAAAGCAGGCTGAATGCTGGGTGCATGCGTGTGTGCATGTGGGT